TATATCTTGTTCAGCTTTTCGTCAACCTCAACTGAATTATCATTTGCGTAAGTATATAATATATTTACGTAAATGACAAATGGCTCATCTCAAAACTATTTAGTCCAGTTATTGCTTACCATTTTCAACTGAACATTACTGAAACTGCATCGCCACTGTTTCTAACTCAGACAATTTGTGCTTGCTGCAACCATAAAACGTTAATTTACTTTCCAAACGTAATTAAATATCTTTTTGATGCTCAGCTGTTGCGAAAAAATTAAAGACTAATCGAAAACTTTGAAATAGTGTCTTATTTGATGAATTAACTGAATTTATGAATCAGTTCGATTAGCTCATAAATATGTAAACGCATTCATAAATGTAGTATATGAACTACAGTATTTGCACTGATTTATTATACCGTAAAATTTTGATTTCGTTTGCATACAAAATGCTTAAAATCATACTTCTAAATGAATTGTTTTTTGTCTTCGTAGAATCAAGTTTTATTTGATATATTTCCATTGAGTGAATCCTTATTCAAAATACGATTGTCTTCTGAATGAAATGAATGGATGGATCTGTTTGATGGGCCATTATGGGTCTTTGTGATGTTCCTTCCGGCCATGAATTGCTTTGTTTAGAGCTCAATAAACGAATCAAAGATACTTCCACTGCACATAAATTTTATTCGATCTTCTATCATTAATTTATTTCATTATCATTCAACCACTCAAATTTCTTCTCAATAATCGCACTCGTTGATAATAAATTTGTGAATTAATGCATTTCGCATCATCGAATAATTATCAGCCTTCTCATGTTTCGATCTCTATTTAAGTCTAGTAAATGCCCATAAGATTGTTTTTACTCGAACATGAATACGCTTCACTTGCATTGTTCACTGGACTCAATTATCTTCATTCATTTAGTTGTCATTGTTTTCAGATTATTTAGAAGTTTAACTCATGCATGTGGGCAATATTTTATATGATACGTATGAATTATATTCCCGTCAATAATTCTTCTCCTTAATAGATTCCTATCTCCCCCCCCCCCCCCCCACCATCCTTTCTCGATAAAAGCCTTTCAAAAACATTTGAGAATTACATCCCTCTAAGTTATTAATCAAGTAACTGCATTATATATCATAAATTTACATGCATATATGGATATGCAAATCATTCACACGAGGCTGTGTCTTTAATTCATTTTCCGTCACTGAATAAGGAGGAGTTCGAGACGTTGAACCATCCCACAAGGCGTCTAAAAGTTTTCAAATTCATATTCGGTTTTCTTGTTGTGTACGTCTATGTTGTTTCTTTCGTCATTCCTTGATAAAGTTCTTGAATCCGCAAATGCGCTCAAAGTACCGAGAACTCCACTGATCTAAAATTCAGATCGCAATACCATTGACACCGACGCTAGTGCTTATGGTTATGTAAACCGATGAAACTGAACCTAAAACTCGAAATTCTACATTATGACAGATGAAGAGAATAATTTTTTTTATAAGAAGCAAATCGTTGAAATCGTTTGCTGATGTATGTGTTGTGCTATTCACGCACACATATGTAACAGAATGTATCTTCACAGAATTTGTACATTTCATGAAAAAATGATACGAAAAGAGTAAATTGAAACGAATCCGTAACTGTTGACATTCGGAATGAAAGAATGGATTTTAGGAGTTCTACTGCTTGCTGCAATTCCTCTTCACCGTTCCTCTTCAGATACAATTGCCTGAAATTGGAGTAGGAGTGCGACTGTGATCGAGCGACCGACCGTGACGACCTCGCTTAAAGTAACGACATTCTTCACCCACGAATATTTACACCACATCACAATGTGTTCTTTAATCATATTCGCACTGCTTCTGAACCAGGTTCTCGCCGGCATTTTCATTCCCAGTAAGTTCGTTCGCTTGTCAATACCTAACTGAACGAGAAGCGTTTCAGCATTTACTTGGGCATATACAGTTTCAGTTTTGTTGCTTCGTTATGTTACGTTAAGTATTTCACAAGCATCCAGTCGAAAAGTTGAAAATCTAAGCCTTCGATCACTGCAAATGAGCGGTTATCAATGAATTTTGCTATGATCATATTCGACTATTGCTTTTCGCTTGCAAACCTATTGGATATTGCATATACGTACTGAATACTTTTGCTATTTCACTTAATGCGTTTATTAAACAAAATTCTTTCGAATCGAATCAACTCATCGCTAAGAATATTTGTGATGAATTTAACGGAAAAGTCGAACGAATTGTTGCTCAATATTTGTTTCATTGAATATGCAATAAAATTTCTTTTCAATCATAAAGGCGATTGAAGTAATTCGGAAGATAACTATCAGTTTTTTATTGAATTGATGTGATAATTATTTGTACGACAGAGAGAGGAGAGATTTTTACGAAGTCAACAATTCATTCATGTTTTCTTTTACGTGAAGATTAAGTACGAAGAAGGAACTTGATGGAGGATGAAAGATGTGTATCTGATATCTTTACATAAACGTTTAGAGTTGAATCGAATATGCAATGGAGCATTTTTCCTTTGAATGAACATTTGACAAAACGCTTTAATAAATGGGTTTTCTCAGAAAATCTTCAGTATCTTCAGAACCTTTAAGAACATAAAATTGATCCGGGTATTTTTGTGAATTCAACTCACAAAAATTGCTGCATTTTATGAGCAACTGAATAAAGTTCGTAAAACAAGAATGGCAATACTGGTGTACCTTGAAGGGGATAATAATAATACCTCAGATGGACGAAATAGCAGAAGAGCGTGGAAATTTTTAGAGAAGATGGAACATTTTATGCATTTTGCGGGTTTGTTTTTCAACTAGGCTTTCACTAATTTTTCGAGCAGTTAAGAAGTAAGAAATACCACTGTCTTTCCTTACACATGAGCACACATTGTGCTCGTAATTCACAAACACTGAACTATTTATTCTTCCTTGCTCGAAGATGTAGCGGCGATCTGAATTTGGATTTAAACGAAGGATTCTAATGTTCATATATGTGTTTGCCGTTTCGTGGCCTTTTGCTTTCCATGTATGTATTGGTTCAGATAACTGCACTAAGATTCATTCTGAGTTCGTTAAAAGATGACAATGAAATGAGTTTGTTGCCTCATTAAAAATGCATGTGCTTTCAGTTCATGGTTACAGTAAAGCAGTTGAAAAGAGGTCATCATCGAGCGCGTTGATCGCATCATTTTGCAGACAGCTCTTCGATGATTCCGTTTATTCATCATTACCGGAGGTTTAAGATCTTCTCTATGATTCTGATGAAACAAGATATTTCACATTTTTTATGATACCCACCTTTATGCTTCCCTTTTTCGGCACTTTGCTGCACACAGCTATTGCAATTACATGCATCAAATTAAAGCATTGACAATCACACTGACATTTATCAAATGCCTTATTGTGACTTGTAAGCAATACTTTCTTACCTCAAGTTTCTCAATCAGGTGAAGGGCATGATTAAATCTTTAAGCAACTGAACAGATCTGGAGAAATACGCATTTGTGGAAATATATTTAAGATGGACGCTTCATCAAAAATGAAATGAAATTCGAATATTCTTTGCAGATAGATGGACGATGGATGACCAGAAACCAATTCACAACGCTTTGCCAACGGTACTTGAACTCGCTCTGAGAGCATTGGGTATGTGTGTACGACGCGTGCAGGACAAATTTCATTAATGAATAAATGTTTATAGAAAACTGTTTATCCGTTGTCTGAATGCAAATTTATCAGAACTGAAACGACAACGACACTGAATTGGATACAAAATTTCATTTTTTTCAAATAAAAACTGAACGAATAACAACACAAAGCTTGCGATCGAATAATCGAGACAGCTTATTAACAAAATCTTAAATGTATATATCCAGCATGAAAGAAAGAATCTTTGTTCGTTGCTTAACATCAACAATAACAATAACATAACAACAACGCTCATGAACGCAAATGACACACTTCACACATACAAATTATGAATCATCTTTTGATTCACATTCATTTCAACGATGTTAAACGCTCATTTGTGCCGTGAGTAAATTCAGAATAACATCACTGTTCCTGGCTATCGTTACTTGTTTTTTCCGCTCCTGAACCGTTCCCTTCACAGTCTTCATCAGTTTTCTTTATTCCGGCAACAACCGTTTCAGCACTGTTCCTTTGAGCGTTGTTTTTGCGTTCCATCGCCAATTCTCGACCTCGCATTGCTTTAGACTGACGCTTTGACCAGAACGCATTCTCTAAACAATAGTTGAACGATTACGCTATCGCCCTACCTCTCATTCAAATTAATCATTCTTTACTAAATTATTCGTTATGATTTCTTCTTTCCAAAACAATATTCCATATGAATACGAACTCTCTAACGATTACAACAACTTTGCCTGACAGAAAAATTATATCCTTCAAAGTTACGTAAAAAAGACAGATTTTGCACAATAGACAACGAACCCATATCGGATGTGTCGTAGCCCAGCATTCTACATAAATGAATACGTTCCTCTTTACTGACATATGGAGCAATTGTTTTAGCACCCATCCACGTACAAATTGCTCGCTTAACACTAAAATAAGAATTGTGGTAGACAGAAAAGACTGCACCACAACCGACAACAATAAACCAAACACTTCAGTAAACGAATCTTTTCATAGAAATACAAAAAACACGTTGGATTCAAACTGAAGAAACGCTTTTGAAAGTTAAATCGTTGTCGCTTGAAAGATGCGACCCATAAAATGCTTTCAAGTTATGCATAACAATATGACTAAATTCATACCCGTTACATTCTATCACCAGAATCACACTACCCGAACTGATGCCATCCAGTTTTGAATTACACTGCAGTTCTTCACGTGGATGAATCTCGTTGCCCTCACACGAAAGTAATATTTTCAACAGATCAGCCACTTCAACTCCAACAACACGCTTGCTCAAGAAGGGTAGTATAAGGTTCACACCCTGAAGAACGAGTTTCTATTTTTTTGAACTGTGATAAAAGTGTTGTTAAAAGAAGCTGTACACTAATGAAATGAACTTCATCATAATAATATATCATCGATAAATTTCCCTACTTACATCTTGTGACATACGAAATCTACATTGTTCAAATTTCGTTTCCACACGACCGAACATACGAAGACCCGCATTAATGAATTTTACCTGAACAAATGCATCATTATACATAAGCAAACCTGCATCCATTTAACAATTTGAAGATCATCTCAATTTGAGGGGCAGCTGTTCTGCGAAAGAGCATGAAAATGATGAAAAATAATTAGGATCTCTGTGAAGATGGATTACTGACTTTTTCTTGGTTACATTCGAGGAAATCTTTGACTGCATCATTCACGTAATACAGAGTTCGCTTTTTGTCCACTTCATTGGTTCGTCCCAGAAGGTTCTGGTACGAGAATGTCTCCGAAATTCCATAATAATTTCTGCAAACTGGTTCCGTTGTTCGATGGATTCGACATAAAATATCCTATTATGTTCTATAAATTGACTTTAAAAGTGCTCATATCCAGCGCAGTTTGGTATGAAGTGTGCGTGAAATTCAGAATATTGAGATAGATCACGAAAACAACATGGGACGAATGCAGAGGATCGCTTTAGCACACCAGTGCAACATCACTAACGATAAGTGCATGCTGGCCATAAATAACAACGAAGACGCGAATGTAAACGAACGCGATATCTTTCCATCGCGAATCGTCGGTTGTAAGGAACACGAATGGATCCTCTTTGAATGTTTTACGTCGTTTCGTTATCGGTGGTGTTGCACTAAGAAACAGTGTTAACCTTATCACTTCAATCATACAATCGAACACGCAAACTAGTTGAATGAAATATAAGATTGCTCAAGACAATGTTGCAGCTCCCAGTTAGATTTTTTCGACTGACGAACGTTAAAGTGGATAAAAGTTTTGAAAAGTTCAACAAGAATAACAACAAATTTCGCATCGTGGTGAAATGTGAACGTAAGGAAGCGTAAAAATAAACGGATTATCGTCCGGAACGAATAAGTTTCATAGAACTCCACCAAAAATAGGGTAAACGATACTAAGAAATGCGTTCTGAAAAATATTTTGTTCACCAATAATGTTACCCTGAGAATCGCGTAGATGTATCGATACGAAGAGGTCCAGTCTTACGTAATACAGCCACGAAGAAACCTCCCGTATTTTGAAGATGGGGTAAAACACGTAGACTGCAACTGATTATCGATGTGAACAAAACAGAAAAGAAATGAATATAAGAAGTGTTGATGCCATAATGAAGTGAATGGTCCAAAACGGAGATATAAATATTTCAGATGAATCATAAACATTAAACAAACCATCGATCTAAATGAAAGTTTTCTTTTTCGTGCTCAGTTGGTGGGAACATTGACGTGACAATCGCTCTCTTCAGCTTATCATCAACCTCATTGAAACTCTTATATTCGTTCAGATCTCTGTCGAATACCTTGCAATGAATTAGAATGTTCTAATGATAACAAAATTGAGAATGTACAATTAAGTGATCAAAATTCAGAACCTTCCAAGATGAAACACCCGAATAACGTTTGAGTTGAGCAAGACGATCAGATACGTCAACTAATTCAATAGCACCATTGCCATATCGTAACAACTCGGCAACGATCGCTTCGTCTTCAATCGGATTCAACGAACACGTTGAATAGACCAACAATCCTGAACCATAAACGAATCATCTACTATTATTATGCAAAAATGACTAAGCATTACTTGAAAACAGTTGTTAACAAGCGTGCAGTGAAAAACACTCGAAACGCGATTAAATTACCGTCATCAGCAAGTAACTGCACACATCGTCGAGCTATATTTAACTGCAGTTTGTGAAGACCGATTGCCTAAAAAACAAAAACTAATAATAATGAGTTAGTTCCACACGAGAAATATGTCAACAAATTTTCAATTATTCATATTTAACTACTGATGCAAACAAACCAAAAAAGGAATGAATAGAATGAAATAAGATTTGTTGATTAGAAAACGATCATGTGAAATTGAATGAAATTTAAAAAAACCTTCTGTGGAGTCCATGAACGCCACATTTCCGGATTTTTTCTGAAGGTTCCATCACCACTGCAAATCACATCGCACAGTACACGATCAAAAAGAAGCGCCTCTGGTTTATCCTAATAGAAGATTTTATTGATATCGTAGAAGTGGTTGCTGAGCAAGAAATTTGTCGGTAAATTAAGTAATTTGTTCGTTGAAGACAGATATTCAGATAGCGAGGATTTTTTTTGCGCGGAGGGGGTTGATCAACAACTATTCAGGTATTTAATCTTCGTAAATTTTCTCCACTGAATACACCATAGCAACGAAATCATTTAGGAACAGTAAGCAGCAGATTGAAATATGCAGGATTTGGTCATTATACTCCAAATAACTCGAAATGCAACTGAACAACCGATACACATACTACTACCTTATTGCAAACGAATGCTGGCATGTGCGCCGCATCTTCGTTAATAACCACACAGTTCGGTGTGGGCATTCGCTTGAGTGCTTGCCGTACCAACAAATAGCATCTTGAATTGTCAACATCATTGGCCACAACCAAACCAGCTGAACGATACATTTGCTATCAACACAACTACTTCCTCTTTGCTTTTACGAAGAACCTCGCAAACTGATATCATGAAAACGCTTAACGTAAACATTTAAGGAATACTAAGAAGCACATGTTTATAGCACAACATAGATCTTACTCATCAACAATGCGATATTTTAATTCCGCTATTATAAATTTCGATTTTTTGCAAAATATAGAAAATTATTATTCACTAGGCATTTCGCTATCAGCGTGCATCATCTCGATGATTTGCATCGTTTTACTCCCTGGAGCAGCACATGCATCCAACACTTTATGGTGACCTTTGATATCCAATAGCAACGGAGGAATCATGCTCACTGCTTCTTGGCGACTTATATTTCCCTGAAATATTGCAAGCTTTTATGGAATATTAAATATTTTATAACATTATTATCACCGCTTCAATAAGATACTAACTGATTCGCTGAAAGCATTCGTTACAAAACAATTCGACGACTGAATTTTATCAATAAACACGAAACCTACTAATTCAGCTTCAGTGACTAAAAAGTTGTGAAAATTCTTCAGTAGCGGTTGACTTCGAACTGCTGTTCGTGACATTTTTGTTTGATATGCGAACGGGTACCACGGCAGCTGTTCGGGAACATGCACGTCTGGGCTGCCACACGAACGCATTGCACCAAAATAGCGTTCATTCATTAATGAAATTAACGTTTCAGCTTCTCTAAAAAACAAATTGATTAAATAAAAAGTCGTCATGGCAGCACGTAGTTAAAAAGCAAAGTTGAAATATTCAACAAAGAAATAAATTGAATCTAATGCAATATTTGAAATCTTAACATACTTATTACAACCCTGCATTCGGAAGCACGTAGGCAGTTCCTCTCTTAGACAATTCACAAATGAATCCCATTCTTCCTCTGCGATCAATCCTTGCCTCTTGTAATAATCAAATAATACATCGTTGGTTTTATCCAGCTCTGTTAGCACATAATTTTGGCTGACCCCCTGAATAGGCAAGTAACTCAATCAATCGCTCATTAATGAATGTGCTTTTTTTCGAAGAAATATTGTGGAAACGATCGATTCAAGACGGGTTTTCAGTAAATCAAATGCACCAACCAACCTTCTTCTGAAAGTTCGGATCACGGTTCTTCTTTTTGCCACGAATACCTCTTTGGACCATTTTCTAACTTTGTTGATACCCTTTCAATGACCTACTTTATAACTATTTCAAATGACAAATAACGTGAAAGGAAGATATTTAACAAAAGAATATTTAGAGCCAATGCAAATATGGAGGTTTTCTGAATCATACAAGCGATTCATTCTGTTGAGACTATCTTTCAAAAATGATGATTAGGTAAAGCCAATTTGTAGCGAATCGAACGATGAGCAAATCTCAAATGAACACGACGCAAATAATAACCATAGATTTTATTCCATTCAAAACAGCATCACCGTATGACAAAAATCGCACATTTACACTTACTCATCGACCGTCTCAGTTATTCGACCAGCTAGTGCTTAACTTCTCAAATCCCTTTTGCCCACACTGATTGCATCATCAATCGTAGAACGTAATTCAACAATCGTAGAACGTAATTCAACTAACATGGATATCTGTGGATCAGTTTCATTCATAGAATAAGCACATACATATGAGAGGTAATATGAATACCAATCCGGATGTCATGAAAAGACGATCAAAACATTTAACGTTCAGTTATTTACTGAACTAGTACACAAAGAAATAAGGAATGAATGTATCTGAGGTTCTGCGTAAAACAGGAGGTGTTTAGAGTCAGTAATACATCACACACTTTAATCACTCTTCTCATTCAAATCACCGATGTTAAGTAGCTGCTCATCCTCTTTACAATCGGCAAAGGTATTAAATGAAGAAGTGCTATCTATCATAATTTTCCAGGACATGCGATCAAAAGATTTTGCAATGCATCATCAATTCTACAATGGCGACAAGTTGAATACTCATTGGAGCAGCAATCCAAACACACATTTTATTAGAACAGCACACTATCATGGATGCAATCAATGCGTAACCAACAATACAACCACAATAACATTGCTTAACCCATTATTACCAACCCAATGGAAACAACCTCATAGAATGTGGTCGAAATCCGAATCACCCGGAACTTTAAGCGTACCTCTCATTGATATCTTTTAAATATGGTCGATCGTACATACCGACAATACAAATAATCATAATCGACAAAAAGATTATTGAACAAACAACAGCATGTCTGAACAAAAACATATTACTGATGAGGAATTATTTGAGAATTTAGAAAAAGATACATTTTATCTGAACATGTGTGCAATTCAAAACATCATAATCTGTAACGAAACATAATGAAACAACAAAGTAACAATGTGTTGCTTTTCAATGGCAAAACGTTTAGGCGTTAATCATTTTCCGAAAAAGAAGAAAGCATTGTTTTATTGATAAACAAAAATGAATGAAAAAGTAAAATCCATAATGAGTAACTTCCAAATCATATCAGTAGCCAGCAATATACTCACTTCCCTCATGAATAGATGAATATGCAACAAACAACACGACAGTTCGTCTCTTCGCTTCACCTCTTCACAGCACAACACCATCACTCCAAACAAGAACAAATCAATCAATCACATGAATGAATGAAACTAATACAAGCTAGGCTCTAACTGCAGCATCAGCCACTTCGAGCTAAAAAGGCGTTGTATTTATCGCCGACAATATTGTCGATCGTTCAGAATCGTAAGGTGAATTACTCTACGGCAGCAGCACGAATCGACGCACACCCCTACCCCTCCCCTCCCCTCCCCCTCCGTTGCACACCTTCCACTTCAAAAGATACACACACAGTTCATAAGATAATAAGCAAACAACAATATTACGAGCACACAATTCATCTAGATCAATTGATCGTGTAATCGTTGTTCCGCTTCATTTCTGGTGAATGCATCAAACCAATCTTGAGAAGTGAACTAACTTCATCCTAATGATAAGAAATAATATTTTGCAAACAGACTGACCAAAAGATTACGCTAGCACTGAAAAAATATATAAAACTTGCCATTTTTGAGCAACGTGCGTCGATGCGAAATGTGAGAAATGAGGTATGAATTAGCCAAATAATATGAATCAGAAATTTAAGCGACCATCGCTTCGAAAGCATTACTATTGTGCTCAGTGACTGATTCTAAATGAGAAGCTATTAGAAAAGAAAAAATATTTTGCATTTATCCTGGACACCAACAATCGCAGCTAACGCAAATTAGTGATTTATAAAAAGTAAAGAAGAAAAAACAACAAAAATAAAAGGATAATCCCCAATGATAAGGCACCACCTCTGAGGTGTGAAGCATTGAAAAAGGAACGCATCCACTTCATGAATCTAAACACGATCAACGAACGAATCAATCGCAGCCTTACTAAAGTGTGCTGGTATAACATTTCAATAATTAAGCAGCGTTGTTGTTTTGCTGTTGCGCTTCATTTACAGTACATTACGAAGAATGATGTTCATAAAGTGCAAGAAGATATTCAAGCGTATATATATAT